TCCCACCTCTCTACACGCTGTCTTCCTTTCCTGATTTATTTTTTTCTCAGAGCACTGAACTACCTTCTAACACAGTGTAAACTACGTTTCTTTTGTTTTCCTTATGCATCCTGCCCTTCAGAATGTCAGCCTCAGGAGGGCAGAGGCTGCCTCTCTCAATCACTGCTGAATTCCCTGCACCTAGCACACCGCAGGCTCTCCTGAATTGATGAACACCCTTCTGGAAGTATCTGTGCACAGACAAGCGCGTATATGCACGTTTACTCCGCCTCCCTATTTTGCACAGAAGGTACCACCCTGCACAGCGGGTCTGTACCTGCTTTAGGCTAATGCGTCTCGGAGCTCTGCCCCGTTGGAACGCACAGCCTGTGCTCCAGCGTCCACAGCTGCCCGATTGCCACCCAGGCGGCTCGGCCTCTGGCCACCGTGCTCACTGGCCGTCTCCCCTTCACCAAGTACGTCTGTGTTCCCATCTCCCCAGTGCCTGAGAGCAAAGACTAGAGCCGAATCCCAGGGGTGGGTGGGAGAACACCCCAGAAAGCACAACCCTGGGAGAAAGTTGTTTATCTTCAGAGATAATCGGGCCTATCAGGCAGGGGTTTGATCTCAGTCCCTGCTTCCTTCTTTCTGAAGTACACACAGTGTCACAAATTACAGGCCCAGATATCAGAGGAAGCTGGGGTGACAATGCAGTTTCTTGCAGCGAGGGTGAGGGTGGCTGGGGGGCTCTGAGTGACATCCCAGTGACATTGTTGCAGAGCTGGGAGACTGGAACGGGCGGGCCTCTGACTCCTTGTGCAGGAAAGGATGGGGAGCGCCTGTCCCTCCCAAGTCCTCTGTGTCCTGAAATGTCCCTTTCCTTTGAACACCAGGGTGTCTTTGAAGGGCTTTTAGCACACAGGCACTCACACACTTCATATTTTGAGTGTCACCTCCCCACTGCGTACCCGTTCCTGAGGGCTGGGCTGATGTGTACTGTTCAATTCCACAGCGCCCAGCGCGCAGTAGGCACTGATGATATACAACAGAATGACAAGGCTGGGATGTGTTCATTGAAAGCAGGCTTTCCCCCCTCCTGTCTCCGCTTTTGAAAGAGGGCCCCCTGTCCACTGAGGAAGCGTCTACTTCCCACCAGACCCGTCCCCTCCCTTTTGGGTGGGATGATGGGGAGTAGAAAGCTGGCCTGGGGAGCCAATGCTTTGTGGGGGTCACACACAGGCCCCCCCCCACCCCGTGCTGACTGAGGCCCACCTGGGCCTTCAATATTTGCCTTGACCACACTTGTATTATGAACAGCGGGTGCCTAAGAAAGTCTGGGACAGGTGTGGGGGGTGGAGCAGGCCCCACCCATCTGCATTACTCAGCACAGACCCTGTGGGGCATCAGAGTGTGCAACCCCCGTTTGAAAACACGTCAAAAGTATGAAACATCTATGTAAGTCTCCTGTGTGTACATGATTCTGGTTGCCCCTGGGATGTTCATGGATGTCTTTTGGGTTGTCATTGACAGAGGCCCCGAGAGTGTGGAGTTTCCTCTGCATGTGCTCCGCTGACCAGCCTGGGACTCTTGGGGGCATCTGGGGTCAAGGTGGCTCCGGGCACCATGCTCAGAGCCTGAGTTCTGACCCTCTGAATGCCTGGCTTCTATAGGCCTGCCCAGTGGGTATTTGGGGGGCGGAAGGCAGGCCCACTAGAGTGGCTGAAAGTTTGACCTGACACCATGGTGGGGCCCCTATGGATTCAGTCAGCCAGAATGGGCATCTCTTAGGTGTCAGGCCCGGGGCTGTGCTCGGGGAGCTGCACACCTACCTAGAGTTTGAGACCTATGGAGGGAGTTACAGGCTGGACTCTGGAACCTGCTGAGGCCAGCATCCCCACTGGCTTCTGGATTCCCTGTGTGTTACATGCACTCATTTATTCATTCACTCTCAACACATTTTAATTGAGCGCCTATTATGTGCTGGAGATACAGCAGTGAGCTAGATAGAGCAGGTCTCTGCTGGTATGAAGCTGACATTCTGTGACAAAAGACAATATGTAAGTTGGCATGCCCAAGATCATTTTAGGTGGTGAAAAATGGTGAAGACATGGATAGGGTATGGGTTAGTGAACGCCTTGGGGGTTTTAGATAGAGGGTCAGTGAAGGCCTTTTTAAGGAGGTGACATTGGACCTGAAATTAAAAGATTGCTGTCTCAGGCAGAGGGAACAGCAAGTGCAAAGGTCCTGAGGCAGGGATGAGTTTAAGAGTTTGCCAAGGATTTAGGAGGGAAAGGTTGAATCGTTGGAAGGGGGACAGTGGGAACATAGGCTAAGGGCAGAATTTGGCTACAATGAGGCCAGGGCACCCTGGATGTCATATACATGACATCCCTCAGCCAGTTCCAGTCTGGCCTGGGGCCACTATGTGCTGCCCAATGTCCTTGGGTGACTTTCTTAACAGCCTCAGTCCCCTCACCTATAACATGGGTGTGCTGGAAGTTTTTCCCTCACACATTTAATGGGATGTTTGGGAAGCTCTTAGCTAACCAGCATTCCTGGGGGCTTAGCGGGGTCCTTCAGAGAGGCTGTTTGAGACAGTGTTCCTTGGCAATTTTTCAAAGCTGCTGTCCCCATTACTGGGGCTGTCGCTCAGTAACAAATGGTGCACAGAGTAGCAATTGGGGTGTGGGCTGCCCATCTGTGGCGGGATGAGTGTAGGCTCAGCTGAGACCCCTTCCAGTTCATCCCTTCAGAGACAGGGTTCAGAGCACCCATCTGAGTGAGTCCAGCAATTTAGGTTCTTAATCTCCCTGGACCTCCGTTTCCCCATCTGTAATGTGGGATCAATCACAGGTCCCCCCCAATGTCTGAGGATTTCTGGGGGGGGGGGGAATTTGTGAGCTCCTGAGGACAGGCACTTGTACTGGGCCCTGCAGCCCATGAGGGCAGGATTAAGAACCAAAGAGACAGGAGTGGGAATGAAAGAGAGCAAATCCTCTTCAGAAAAATGCCTCCCTCTCCTCCTGTGCTCGGTGTTTCTGTCAGTAATGTGGTGGGTCCAGAGGCGACCCCTGAGACTCCCTGCCTTCCTGACCCCTCTCTAAGCCCATAGCCTCAGTCAGAACCCCAGGGCACCGCTGGGGGGCAGGGGCTGGGGGAAGGAACCTCTGAAGAGACTCCACACCCTGCAGAATCCTGGAGCTGAGTCTCATTGATTTGCAAATCCCAGGAGTGTTCTCATGTGCTGCTGTAGAGGGGTGCTGAGGAGGCTGCTTGGTGGGGGTGGGGTTGGCTGAGGAGGGCTCCCCTGTTTCTGCCCTCCCTTGCCTCCCCCAAACCCCCAGGAAGGGCTGGGCCTTCCTTCTGCAGGTCTGGCTCTGCTTGTGAATTCCCACGGTCTGCTCGGGCAGCTGGTGGGGATCGAATGGGGAGGGTGGGGACATTGACCTGTGACCCCCCCTCCTGTTCCAAATTGCAAACTGCTCCTCGCCCATGCACATACACTTCCTTTTTTCCAGATTTTGTCAGCCCCAGGTGGTCCCCCCTCCCAAAGCACTGAGGGGGCTGAGAGGGACAAATTGCTACAGAGGGGGGAGGCAGGCTACCCCTGCCTCCTGGCAGGAGGCCGGAACACGCCCAGGCCCCTGGAAACCGCGTGGTCGCCTCCCCACCACAGCCATTCCCCACTCCCCGGGGGGTTCTCAGATGTTGGCAGATGGCAGAACTGAATCTGCTGAGAAGTAGCTCCAAAAAAGGAAAGTTGAACTGAAAAAAAAAAAATCAAACTCTCCAACATCTTAGGGGAAGGCAGAGCAGGAGGAGGGCGGCTCCAAGCCTGGCACTCCCAGTGCCCTCTGCTGTTTAAAAAGATCTCCCCTGGTTTGGGAGGGCCACCTCGGAGGGGGCAAATGAGGACACACAGTTGTCAGGGCAGCCAGTGAAGCTGGCGCTGGAGCTGAGTGTCCACACGTGTGCTTGTCTGTGAGCCTGCGTGCGGCGCAGTCTGGGCTCCTAGACGTGCGCTCCAAATGTGCCCCGCCACAGGCTTGCAAGCGTCGAGTCTGTGCATTGCGTTCCTGAATGTCCCCAAATGGCCGTTCACTCCTCAACAACACATTCTCACGTCCCTACTGTGGAAAGGCAGTGAACAAACAAGTCACAAATCTCACTCTCCTGAAACGGACATTCTAGCGTGTGGGCCTGCCTGGGTGTGAGTTCGTGTGCGTGTCCCAGCGTTTATCTGTGGGTGATCTTACACTGGGGTCTGGGTCCCAGGCTGCGCTCCCTCTGCGGGGATGGGGAAGGGGGGGGGCTGTGAGTTTCCATCTGCTGAGGCCGGGTGTGCGTGTCCGTTGGTGATAATCCCGCAGTCTACTGGGTGCTACAGCCCCCGAGTAAGCTCCACCGCGCGTGTCCCTGCGCCATCTGTGTGTGGCCCTCCCCATCCGCTGGCCACTCTCGAGTTATAATTTAATAGCTGAAACGCGATTCCAGTTAAGTATCAGGGGCTGGGTAGGAGGAGGGGCAGGATGGGGAGGTGTTTTCCCCTCCTTCCTCTTTACTGGAGCGACTAAAAAGAAACTCGGCGTCGCGCCCGTGCGTGCGTGTGTGTGTGTGCGTGTGTGTGTGTGTGGCGGCGCGCACGCGCGCGCGAGTGGGCGCGCGCAGGACAAGCGGAGGCGACGCGGGCCCTTTAAGGAGCCCGAGTGGGCCGGGCCGGGCGCGTCTGTGCGGGCGGGGAGCCGCGAGCGGGGAGGCCGAGCTACCGCCTCCCGGGCTCCCGCCCCGCCCCTATCAGGCAGGGGTTTGATCTCAGTCCCTGCTTCCTTCTTTCTGAAGTACACACAGTGTCACAAATTACAGGCCCAGATATCAGAGGAAGCTG